AACACATGACATTATCTAATTAATACTTGGCACATGTCACGATATGGTGAATTACAATTTTGCTTACGTGTCGCGTTCCCATCGTATGCATCCTCTTTTATATAATAAGATGCTAGCTGTCTCAACCCAAAGAACGAAAACATATTCAAGAGAGTATTATTGATAAGATGTTTTTGTATGAGCAAAGTATTTAGGTATGTGTCAAAAAAAATTAATAGGATGCGATGGACAATTCAAATAGTTGAATATTTTCTAGAAAACTTGGTTTTTCTGTATGTGAATGTCAGAGGGATGAGTGGTTATCTTAGACATCGGAGTTGGCTGACGAATTTAGCAAAGTCGTAACAACGTTGGCGGATGCCTAAACGAATAAAAATAAAAAAGACAGTTCAAAAAAAAAAATCGTTTACAATAATCTACATCGTCATACACCAAAAACAAATAAAAACTAAATAACTCAACTTTTCTAACTAATTCTCTTTCGACGCATAAGATATCAGAATCATATTTTACTGAAAAATGAGTAATTCATCTTAACATCCATGAATTGAAAATTGTATCACTGTGAAGCTTTCAATTTTAGCATTTTGAATCTAATGTTTATCGTAGTAATATTTGAATAATAAATATTGTTTCTTTTTTTTAAGGAAAATAATAAAATGTTTCTATCGTGGGTCCATATTTTGTTTACCCACAAAACTATAATTAATGTTAAGAGTAAAAAATGCCCTTGAACTTTTTCAAATATTTTTGATGCCCTAAGCCAATGTTTTTTTCTAAGCCTTGATATTTAGGCTTGATTCTATTATCATCCACGTTATTTTATGACCACATTTGTATTTATTTATAAACCGTATCATTATCACCCTTTTCAATCATCACTTTTGTTTCTCAATAGCTATTTCCAAACATTCTAACATTGATTTTTCATGGCTTATTTTTTTCTTTTTGACAATTGAAATAGTTTTATTTATCAATTCAAGCTACTATGGTTTCTTTGTTGCTTTATCATACGGCTATATTATATATTATAGTCAATGTTTTGAATTGTCTTGCATTGATTGATCCTCAGTTAATCCTTCTCAGAGAAACACGTTTTACTTTGCCTCTTAATATTTCTTAATTTATGTGTTGATGTCGCTCTTGAGAAATCCTCTACTGATTGTTAATGGAGGTTAGGTAATGAGTTAAATGTAGAACAAGACGCCGAGAAAAACGATGAAGAAGAAATACAAGACGAGGAAGAAGAAGATGTAAAAAAAGCTTAAGAAAAGATAATGTTAATCAGAAGAAAGAAAAGAAGATGTTAAATAGACAAAGGATGAGATAACGACGATG